CCTCAGACTCCTTTGTCCCTCAGGCTCCTTTGCCCCTCAGACTCCTTTGTCCCTCAGGCTCCTTTGCCCCTCAGACCCCTTTGCCCCTCAGACCCCTTTGTCCCTCAGGCTCCTTTTTCCCTCAGACTCCTTTGCCCCTCAGACCCTTTTGCCCCTCAGACCCCTTTGCCCCTCGGACTCATTTGTCCCTCAGACCCCTTTGCCCCTCAGACTCCTTTGTCCCTCAGATTCTTTTGTCCCTCAGACTCCTTTGTCCCTCGGACACCTTTGTCCCTCAGGCTCCTTTGCCCCTCAGACTCCTTTGTCCCTCAGATTCTTTTGTCCCTCAGACTCCTTTGTCCCTCGGACACCTTTGTCCTTTAAATATATCCCACCTTTACTAGTAGTACCATGTCACCTGGAAACTAGAGGGACCATCGGACCTACACATTAGAAATCCAGATTTGTTATCTTTGATCTGAACTAATGAAGTGATTTCATGATTTTAATTCTGAGGTGACGTGAATCGATGAATGATGACCTACTCTTTCTGAGCTGTGGTCTGTCTGAAGTTCAGGTCTGGTTTGTTTAAACATTGTTTTGTTTTCTGTTTGGGCTGCAGATCTGAACCATCTATCCAGACCGAAGAACCTGTAGTGGACTCTCTACCAGGTAGGAGATGCTTTGGTACTTCTCTAGTTTCAGAGAAATCTATTAATGGACAAATACTTAGGAGACAAAGATTGTTAAACCAAAGGCGGCAGCTGTAAAGTCATCATAGAGAGCGAACAGCATCCCACTGGACTGCTTATCAACCTGAACTTTTACGTAGACGCAGAGCAAGGAGCCAAGATATGCAGACTTTCTTTGAACCTCCATAAAAAATGCAATGAACACCAATACCTGCGAGACAATAAAACAGTATTTCATTAAAGAAGAGCCAAGGTTCAGCACCTGGACAGAACCTGAAGGCATCTGGTCTTGGTCCATTTTCTCAACATGAGCCTCTGAAGATAAGTTCAGCCTAAAGGCTTAAGAGGACTTTTATATCGGTTTATGATGATGATGATGATGATGGACACTGAGCTTGAAACAGAATTCTGGAACTATCCATCTAAGCCTGTCCTGAACACCTCTCACCTTTAACTCGGTGCTACAGTAACCTTCAAACCAGAGTTAATGAGTTTTAGGCGAAATCTTCATCTTCATGGAAAAGCTGGACGTACGCAGAGCTTAGTTACTTTTTGTTGACCCCTTGGTAAGCCTGTCTTAACCTCCCATCCCACCTGAAGGTAAGCTTGTGACCTGGTGTTCAGTTGGGGTTCTGGTGGTGTTGTCAGGGGCATCACCTTTTAGTCCAGGCAGTCTTTGTGAAGTAGGGCTGATTCCCATCACACGCCGCGCTCAGAATAGATCTATAAGCCTATTTACAGGCAGCAGCCTGCTCCATGGATGCAGACAGGGACATGTGGACCAGCCTGACTTAGAAGATCAGCAGCCCCTGCTCCCCTCCGTCCCCAGCAAAGACCACCATATCAGACAGAATGTAGACAGTAAGACCTGAAACACTTGGAGAAACAGGTCTAAATAAAATCTCCAAATTCAGTGTTGCACAGCCTAACATCGTAGTCTAGAGGAGCTGAAGAAACAATGTAGACATTGCTTTGTTTAGTGGGAAACATGGCAGATGTCCAGGAGGGCTAAGATAGCAGATAACCTTGTTAGCTAACATCGTTGGGAAGTGTCAGGAACAATCACTGAACTTTAAACCTTTAGAACAATTAGAAAATACAGAGTTTATTTTAGGCTTCTTTTAACAACAATAGAAATGTAGTTTTGGAATCTTTTAACCGTCTTACTGAGTGAAGAACATGGTGGCCTTCTGTACATCCAGCTGCTCACAGAGCAGAATGTAAGCTAACATTAAGCTTTAGCCGTTCCCATCTAACCTAGCTGAACCACATGTACTGACTTTCATTCAGAGCAGACATGTCTTTGTTTATTGGTCCTGTCCCTCACGTCATACTGGGCTGGAGACAGACGTGATTTTCTTTAATCCTTTCCTCTAATACCTTTTTGCAGGAGACAACAGTGTTATCATTGGATCACAGCCTATTACAGTCCTTCAAGAGGAGCTTTCTCCTGGCTTTGAAGTCACCTCTTGGACTCCACCACTCTCTGTAATTGAAGCTTCACATAAAGACACTGCAGTGAATTCACTCTCTGGGAATCCTGTGGATTTAACCTCTGACCCTGCTGCTGACACTGTGCCAGAAGACTCTAATGATATCCAGGAAACTGTAGGCAGCATTACTTCACCAAGTCTGGTCATCAACTACGACAATGCTTCAAATGTTGGAGTCACTTCAGAGGAGATTGTTGAGATGACCACAGAAGTTTTTCCCTCTTCTACAAACCAACTATTTGACATATTCAATCAGGAGGTTGCCGCTGGTTCAGGCACCGTAATAGAAGACGGGAAGCTTGGGGAATATCACCAGGTTATTGGAAGTATTACTAAAGACCCAAGCAGCAAGCAGGTAATCAGTCCACAGGATGATGAACCACCAACAAAGGGGCCAACAGCATTGATTAGTCCAAAGCCCACCATGCCATCTGCTGCAGAAACCTTCACTCTGATGGAAGCAGGGCATCATCCAAATGTGACTGCTGTGGTGGTCGAAGATGTTGGTACAGAAGGCATCACTGAAATGACTGCGATGCAAGTTCTCAGACCCACAGTGGAGAAAATTCTTGATAACTATTTAGATACTATTCCTGGAGGGACTTTGACGCCTGCAGAGAAAGCCACTAAAGTCATGCAAGAGCCCAGTGTTGACGCTGTAGCTCTTGGACCAGAAACGGATATTCTTGTAGAGGAGGACACAGCCCAGGAAGATCCTTCAAAGGCAGCAGAAGATGTTAGATTAGGTGAAACAAAGGTCATCATGGAGACAACACCAACTGTGTTTCTGATGTTGGAACCTGAAGAAGGAACAGAAATTAACATCAGTGAACGTTCAGAGCAGGAATCAAAGACAAATGTTTCTTCTCAGTCTCCCATCCTGGTAACTATCAGCAAGAGGATCACTGAAAATCGAGAAGCTATAGAGATGACAAGCAAACCTCTCCTTACTTTAAAAGAAGGAAACGTTAAGGGTGCTTTTCAAGAAGTGCCAACAACATGGACAATGACAACTGAGGTAACTACCACAGAAAGTGTTGCTCTCGTTCCAGCAGCAAAGCTGGGGGAGATGATAGATGTCGAGGTCAAAAAAGAAGATACAGCCATGATTACAGAAGATGAGGAAGTTGAAGAGGGAGCTAAGGCTGAAAATGAGATTGTTCAGACAGAAGAAGCCACAATCAAACCAGACAAGGCAGAAGATACACAGGACTTCACAGAAGAGCTGTTGGAGCCATTGGAGACATTCGTTGGAGAGAAATCAGAGAAAGTTGTTGTAGAAACAGACGATGCAATAATTAAACCGACAGGAGGTTCTGCTCCAGATGGCTTTACAACTAAAACAGACAGAGAGCCCATGGAGCAACATCAGATTACAGAAGAACCAGATCATACAGACAAAACTGTACATAAACCAGAACCTGTAGGAGAAGCTGTACTGGCAGGAGAAGGTCTGGAAACTGATGCAAATGATCCAGACATTGCAGAAAACACTGAACTTAAAAAGGAACCAGAAGGTGATTCTAAAGTTGAGAAACCGGCACACAAAACTGAACTAAAGTTAGAAACTCCAGTAACGGCAGAATCTTCAACAGAACTCACTGAAAAGCCGTCAGAACCAATGAGAAAGACTGTAGGAGATGCTGAAGTTATTAACATAGAAAGAACCAAACCTTCTGGAGATCCAGCACAAGAACCTGAAGCCTCTAGCGAATCAGTCCTAGAGTTAAACCCTGATATGGGCATGGCACAAGAGGCAGAACCAAGCAAAAGACCAGCAAAAGAAACAGAGTCAACTCTAAAAATACAAACCACACAGAAAACAGCTGAAGCAAAATCAACAGAACTGACGGCACAACCAGAACATGTTCCAGAGCTTACAACAAAACCGTCACAAGAAATAAGTACGGTCCTAAGTCCAGTTAAAGAAGCAGAAGTAAAGCAAAGAGAAGGAGATCCAGAAAAAGAACCAGAACCAACCGAGAAACCGAATGAAGAAATAAATACCACCGAAGAAGTAACACAAGAAACGGAACCAAACATTAAACCATCGCAAGAAACCAAAATGGCTGAAAAAAGCAAAACCACTGCAAGAACATATGAAGCCATATCATCAGAACCGACAGACCAACCAACAGAAGTTCTGGAACCCTCCATAGAACCACCACAAGAAACAAATCAAGTTATATATCAGGAGAAAGAGGTTGTGTCAGAAATTGAAGGTTTAGAAGTAGAACCAGGGCCTGTGTGGGAACCTCATTCCACAGAGAAACCGGGCAAAGAACCTGAACAAAATAAGGAATCAACACAAGAAACACAACCAGCTGTTAAACCCACAGAACAAGCAACCAAAGACCAAATACATCAACCCTCAAGAGATCCAGCATTGTCAGCCGATTCCTTCACTGAGACCACTAAAGAAGAACAACCAGCCAAAGAGTCTGGTCAGGAGGCAGAGACTGTTAAACAACAACCTGGAGCATTTGAGGAACCAACACAAGTTACTTTGAGGTTAGAAAACAATGGTCCAGAAGATGAGCACATTCCACAATCAACACACGAAACCAGTTTACCCATTAAACCAGATCAGCCAATGGAACGCCCGGAACCAACTTCAGCAGAAGCTACAAGAGAACCAGGCCTCCTGACCGAGACCACTGGTGAATCTCTGCACAAAGTAAAACTTGAAGAAGTAGTCAAAAAAACTCCAGAAACCACCTTGCAGTCTGTACTGGTACCAGAGGCCCAAAATGTATCAACTGATACTACAGATCATACTGAAGATTCATTAAAAGAACCACAGCCCATAAGAGAATTTATGCAGGAACCTAAAACCACAGAAGAACCAACTACAGTATTAGAGCCTCCCATAGGATTAGGCTATAATGAAGAACCTATCACAGAATCGCCACCAAAAACGGAGTCAAGTAAAGATCAAAAACCTCAAGAAGAACCTTCACCTGGAATGCAAACCTCTAGAGATCCAGTAAAAGAATTCAAAGACAAAGAAACAAAAGTCGATCCAACAGGAGAAGCAGATCTTATGGAGCATCCTAAAAGGAAACTAGAACCCACAGGACAACCGGCTCCAGAGGAAGCTGTAGAAGGACCGGTAGAAACCAAACCGTATTTGAGACCCGATGAAGATAAAGCTGGAGTTCGTCCAACATTTTCAGATAAAGTAGAAGAAACATCAGCAGAGGAACAGTTCAAGCACACGGAGGATAAAACCTCAGAGATATCGTATAAAGTAACAGAGGAAAAAGAGGGAACAACATCAAACATTCCAGAGGAGGTGCTAGTACTGCCGTCTGCTGAAGGTTCTGAAGAGACTAAAAAAGTTCTGCAAGTGTCTGAGTTGGACAGAACTGATGTACCATCTGGATCCCCACAGGGTCCTAAAGTTAACATTCAAACTGAGACCAACAAAGCAACAATTTCACATGTGGTTGAACCTGCCATCAAAGTGACAGAACATGTTCCTAAAGTTGAAGATCCCAGTGAAACATCTCCTGAAGTTATGACCCAAGTTCTTCAAGGAACAACATCAGACACATGGTCTCTAAAGACTGTCTTCCCAAAAGAACTTCCCTTCGAGGAAAAGGTTCTACCAGCGGAGAACCGTACCCTGATAGTTCTCCTACCAGCTATCACTGGAGACAGAGAGGTTTTTTCAGAGGCCCATCCTGGTTCTACTGGTGAAACAGATGTGGAAGAGGTAGCTACACCCGGATCATCAACAATAGGACCTGCAGAGAAGGCCCCTCTGGGGTTCACCATGAAGTATGCAGTAGAAACCAACAATGGAAACTTCCTGGATCTAGCAGGCCAACCCTATGAAGAAGAAAACAACTTACTGAATAATAATGGTTTCACAGGAGAACATGAGGAGGAGAACTTGGTGAGCACATATAGAACCAGTGATTAATTAGAACATGTGTTTAAGTCATCATCAGGTGAATATTTTTGTATCTTTTTTATTCTTAGATGGGCAATGAGATAGTTGAGACACTGTTTCGACCCTCGCAGACTCTAAGGGACCATATGGTTGAGCTACGCATCAAGCTAAAAGGAGAAACCTACAACAATGCTCTGAGAGACCCAAGCAGCTTCGAGTACCAACAGCTGGCCAGACAGTTCACGCGAAAGGTGAGCGTCAACCAAAGAGCATCTGGAGCTCTTCAGTTAGGGGTTGTTGTGGATATGGTGGTTTCAGTTGGACATACTTCCATCTTTACACTTCAGGCCCATTATGAGAAAGATTCTCCACAGGTTTTCCTGTCTGGAAAAGAAACAGTTAATCAAACGAGCTCTGAGCCAGTTTTCATGTTTTCATCTCTGATATGAGATGGAGCTTGGCCATTTAAGGCTTTATATGTGAGAAGGAGGATTTTAAATTCTATTCTGGATATAACAGGAAGCCAATGAAGAGAAGCCAGG